AAATAGAGAGACATAAAGAGAGAAAGAAAATATGAGAAACCACAAGATGAGGGATGGTCACTCTGCTATGCCTTCTCCTCCATCTCTCCTCTCAGAATTTTGGACATGCATGCACATGTGCCTGGCACGTTTTCCAAGCCACCAGGACCAGGACCTAAAATTGTATAGTTGCCTTATGGGATCCAGCCATCTTAACCACTACATCATCAGCTGGCCCTCTTTCCTTTTCAATGAAAAAATAAGGCACAAATAAGATGGAATAATTTGTCCAAGATCATCCAACTAATTTATATAGGATCTGATGGCTTTTTTCCAGGTGGATACAAGTAATAACTTGGTGGCATGTCCTCAATGAAACCTTTGACTCAGGAAGAGCATCTCTAGCACCTCATACACGCTTCACTTATAATGCTGTTATAAAACTGAATTTATGCACTTACACACGGGTCTCTCCCATTCGTCTGAGAGGGTGTCAATACCCAGACAACTCCCAACCCCAGATGTGAACCTTGACTTCTCCGTGTGCTCACTGAGGGACCTGTGGCAAGTTGCCTCTCCAATATTCATTCTCTTTCTCTCTAAAATGGAAATCAATAGTTCCAACCTCACAGTGGTGTTGGAGCAATTAAGCTTTAAATGCACATAGTGCTGTGTGCTAGGCAGTTTCGGGTTTTGGTAAGCAGCAGTGACTGTTCATTCCGTATCTTCCTGCTGCCCCTTCCCAGGTTTGGTAGAATTTGTATCAGTCAGCAGAGGTGTCTCAGAGTCAACACCACAGCAGAGAGCAGGCAGCTGGACACTAGAGGCATCGAGAGGTGAGGAAGATAGAGGCCCAGGAGAGCCCCAAAAGGTGGTAAGAGCATATAAAATTAGAGATAAAATAGAAAGAAATACAATGTAGAAGAACCTTTCTCAGTAACTCAATCTCCCAAACCTGTTTTGAGGCTCTTCTATTTGGGTCCCTCAAGATTTAAGTAAGTGGGCTGGCCAAATAGCCTAGTGGCTAAGAGAGGCAGATTCCACCGGGCTGACACTGAGGTTCAATCCAGCCCCTCTGACTTGAAAAATACACTGAACAGATGTGTGTGCATGCTCAAAATTCTGACAGGATGGAGGGAGACGGTGGTGCGGCCATGCCTCATCTAGGAGTATGTCCTCCTTCTCTCTCTGTCTCTCTCAGATAGGCACATCTACCTTCTGGCAACTAGAGGGGGGAAAAAAGATTTCAGTAAGAAAGGTATTATTTTCACTAGCTTATTTAGACCAACATAAAGAATTTAAAGCAATTTGCTTGAGGTCATATAGTCAGTGAGTAGCCGAGAGAGGATTAAGTACCAAGATCAAATCACTCCAAAAGAAGTCTTAGATGGCTACAAATCACTGTGAGGTTAAATAAGCTGCTACATGTGAGGGTCTTGGCACAAATGCTGCTGTCACTGGTGGCCGAAGTCATTGCTAGTTTCACCATTATCATTACATTCCACCGATTGCTCTTGCACTGGGGCCAGCAGCAAAAGACAATGGCCTTGTTGCTCCTAAGGAAAACCATGCCCCCAATTCCAACACTCATTGCTGCGGGTGGGGGTTTTAAGAGGTCAGGAAGCAGCGAGACATGCGGAATAGGCTGCTGTGAGTATGGGAGGTGTCCTCTCATCCCAGAGTTCTGCTCTCCGACACTTGGTTCAGACGGAGCAGGAGACTGCAGGCAGGGTGGCACAGATTCAACCCGAAGCCCAACCATATTCCTTATCCTACCAGAACCTTATTAATAATGTGATCAAACAGGCAGGGAGGCAGTGGCAATGGTAGCAGCAGCAACAATGAAAACCACCAAGAGAGAAAGCAGCTGGCACTGGAGTCTGGAGGGACTCTGGCCGTGATTACAACAGTAAATAAACAGAACTGATGGCTGAGCCAGGGCCCCGGACCCTGCCAGGAAGGGACCAAGGGAGACAGGATTTTCTAATTACCCTGGTGCAGGCTCAGCCATCTTGGGGTTACCCACAGTGGACCCCATCTGTCCCCAGGCTGGGAGCCAAAGAAGCACCTGTTATAGCCAAAGGAATTTGGCAAGTCAAACAAACTGCAGAGCCAGCAAGACCACCTGTGAAGGAATTTAGTGCCTAACAACCTGTGCAAGGCTCCTAATTGTCATCATGAATTTGGCACCTAGCCTCTGGTAGGTGCTAAACAAGTACCCTGGAGCGAGAGCCCATTTCCTGCTCCCATGCCTTTCTCCCCCCATAATTAAAGCTGTGAGAAATTGTGTCATTTGAAAACCCCAAGCTCCGTATCTTCCTCGTGAAACAGTGCGTCGTGCCTGTTCTTTTGGCCCTCTCTATTCGCCGTCATTATGAACATCTTCCTTTCTTCAGCTTATCCGCTTATTCCTTCCCCGATGCACCATTTAGGTTACAATTATTTTCTCATTTTCCCCTCCAGCTGGCACTAGTTTGGTCCTTTCCATCACATATGTCTTTGAAAATGTCACACTGTTGCTCTAGCTTATTTCAAAACCCTGGAAAGAGAGGGGAAGTGTAACCATCACAGCCACATCCTCACAATCCTTAGAAAAGTTTTTCTGATGACTTCCCTGGTGCCGCAGCTGAGAGGATGACAACCCAGCAAGCGAAGAGCAAACAGCTGAGCGCCATTTCAAAGGAAAAGCTCAAAACAATCTGCAGGCTTATGCTGCTTAAAAAAATAAATAAAGTGAAAGGTATCATACTGGGGTGGGAAGAATGCAAAAAAAAAATTAGTAGTGATAAGGTCTCACACATCAAACTTGCATTGTATTTCCACATGGCTAATATCACAGGCCAACTCCACGGGTGAGGGCTTCCAGAAGTAAGATACTCTTGAAACAAAGAATGTCTTATTCTGCTTCTGCATCAGTCACCCCAGAAAGATACAGTGATTTGAAGTTTGTCGCTGAAAGATAAGAACAAAAACGTGGTAATGAAAACTTTGCAGTAAAATAGTGGGGTCTTTTTGCTCTGGAAATGTGAAAGTCAATTAAAGCTTCTGATTTTAGAAATTCAGTTTTCTGGAACCAGCAGTTAGCATAATGGCTATGTCACTGGAACTCCCACATAGTCGACCACGGTTCGAGTCCCAGACCCAGTGGCTTAAACTCACACCGTGCGCATGTGCGTGTGTGCCCAAGATCCCGAGAGGAGAATGGAGGAGAAGGGATTGCAGCGTGACCATCCCCCCGGGGGGTGATTTCTCGCTTTCTGTCTCTATGTCTCTCTCTGTCTGTCTGGTGAGCGCATGCGCCCTATAGCGAAAATCTCTCCAAAAAAAAAAAGAAATTCAGTTTTCTTTCTTTTGATTCCCAATATACACATTATCAGTATAATCGAATTACTTAGATGCACACTAGCCAATCTCTGCCCTGGCAGCCATCTGTATTTGACAAGAAACTAAGCCTATATGATGAATCACCTTGAGTCTTTTCCAAACACAAAATCAAAGCTACTGATAAATGTTAACCAAAATGCACTTGAAAATGAGTGTCTCAACATTTATTTAAATAAAAGTTTATTCGAAAAGTGGATCACAGGGAGGCCGTGCCAGCATGGTGGTAAAGGCACTGGACTCCCACATGGCTGACCACGATTCGAGTCCTGGACCTGGTGGCTTGCTTTCTCACTTTCTCGCTTTCTCTCTCTCCCTCTCAGTCTGTTCCTCTCTGGTCAAATTAAAATAAATAAATACATCTTAAAATAATTTAAAAAATAATTCTTAAAAAAATGTATCACAGGAAACTCCAACTCTTTTCTCAGATGTAGTGTAAGACTAAAGGAAAAAAATAAATAAATAAGAAATCCGTTCTTCAAATATAATTTAAGCAATCAGCCCATATGTTTATAGGCCAAAGGTGCAAATGCAGACTGTTTCAAGGAATCCAGGGTCAGATATCAGGACGGTAATACCTCTGTTTTGCAGAAGTAACAAATCAAGTAGCAAAGGGCAAGAGTAATTTATTTGTTGTGGGAGGGAAAGTTAAATTGAACTTGATCCAGATAATGCTCAAATCCACACACAGATGAAACAAATTGCATTTATCCTTTGTCTTCAAGAGTTAATTTTTATTATTAAATATTAAAATTGCATAGCTTGTTCTCCATTCATTGTTTATTTTTACAGATAATAACCATTATGAATATCCCTTAGGTCAGCAAATTGTTTTTATTAGCTTTATTTTTGCATTAAGAAGACAGCACTTTTGGAGTGTCATCTGATGTTGTAATTCAACAATAAGAACCATTTTAACTCTTAAAAACTGAACAAAGAAATGTATTAATTAGGAAACTTTAGGAGTCATGTCATGAAACTCCAGCTTGAATTCACTTAGGCAAAAGGAACTTTTGTGATGAAGACACCAGGGCATTTTATGTATGTGTGTAATGAACAGCAAGCTTGGGAGTGTAAGCAGCATGACCCCGAGGACAAAAAGGACCAGCATCTCCCAGCCCTTCTGTGCTTCAGTGGTTCAGTTTCGACCTCCTTCGTTACAGCCTGAGCTTTCACACACAAAGTGGCCAGCAAGCTTCTTGTCCCACAGCTTCTGCCATCAGCAAATATTCATCTCCTCTAGCTCTGCTTCAAGAAAGCCTCTGCACAAACTGATTTACTCACCATAATCTGCACAACTACATCAGGGAAGGTGGACATGCTCCATGCCAGACCCGCAGGAGGTCGAGGGAGGAAGTAATTCTCTGAAACAAAGGGTAGGGGCATACAAAACAGGCTAAGAACAGACAAAACAAGAATAAATAAGCAGGGGCCAGCAGGTGGTGTGATGGTTAGGGCACTGGACTCCCACGTGGCCAACTGGGATTCAGGCCCCAGACCTGGCGAATTGCTTTCTCACTTTCTCCTCTCTCTTTCCTCTCTCTTCTCTCTCCTCCCCCCACCCCATGTATGTGTCCTGTAGCAAATTGAAAATAATAATAAATAACGTTAAATAAATAATGCTTTAAAAATAAAAAGGAAACAAGTAAAACAAAAACAAGCACACATTCTAAAAGTTCAGGCGATATCAGGAAGGTAAGATGACGAAGATGAAATACTGCAAGTTGGCATTAAGGCACTTGTTGATATGTATTTATTTTTACCTCTATGTCCCAGCCAAAATAATGAGTAAGTAACTTTAAAATTAAATAACAGACCATTTCTCTCGCCTTTCTCATGGTACTTTTTTGTGGCTCCCCCTTGGCATCTAAGTTTTTGGCCTACAAGTTGCCCCTCAAAGCTTATGCAAAGCATCCGTAATGTTACTGTCAGAATCGTTTCAGAGTTGTCTACATTATTTTTCAGGTTCAGGTCTTCACACATACATTCCCTTATTCTGAATTCATATCATCATCTTCTGGACTTTGAGTTTCTGATGCAATTTCCACTCCATACTCCTTTTTCAATTGCTGCATTTTCATGTTTAAATCCAGTAAAGTTCTTGCCAGCTGGCGGTTTTGGAAATGCATTTCCAGCTAAAAGTTAGGGAAAAAAATAAGAATTTTTATTAGTCAGAGATACAGATCAAATGAAACTGCTGTCTGACTGCACAGAAAAATTAGGAGTTTGTAGAAAAGGAAAATAAGATATCAAGAAAGATGTATCTCTCATCTTATTGTCCAGTTCAGACTGTTTGGCCTGACTATAAAACTGACTTTGTATACGACAAGGTAAAAATCCAGATATATAAATAGCTTTTGAAATGGCCTTGAAATGAAAACAAAAATAGCTGATGCACAAAGCTGTCCATATGAAAAATATCTAAGCACTGAAGACTGTTTTCAAGCAATGGCATGTGATCCCCCGATGAAATCATTTATCTTTATGAGCTTTCTAAGCCACAGGATAACAACCTAGGGCGAGTATTCAGGATTTAGGCCCATTCACTTGATTACTTGTCATTTCAAGTTTTCAGGATTTTAAATGGTCTCCCTGCCAGGTAAAAACATTTAACAACACCTTAGAGGCACATGTATAGTTATGCGTACTTATATAATCTAACACTCTTCACTCTAGAGTGAAATTTGTTATACAGCAAGATGATTTATACCTGCCTCCAATGGAGTTTATGCAGGTTCTCATGTGGGTTTTTTTTTTTTAAATAAATCTCTAGGTCATGTTACCTATGAGGCAGTCCAACATAGTGTCTTCCAACATAGTCTTTGTATTATACCTAAAAAGTAATGATCAGCTACTTGCAAATTTCTCCAGGTAGAGCTTTGTTTAATGTGAAAAACTTGCTCTGCCTGCTTACAACCCTTCATCCACTCAACAACAGAATGAATTAGGGTAAACTAGGGTGTTGTGTTGATAAAAAGCACGTATCGGTGATCCCCTCCCAACTTGCAAAATAAAGCTATTGGGTAAAAATTATCTTTCAGTTGTCCTCCGAGACATTTTTCTTCATTCTTCAGCACCTGGAACTTCTTCTCTGACAGCAAAACTTAGCAAAGAATAAGGTAAATGAACATCCAGCAGACAGGCAGGAACAGTAACCACACTGCAACCACCCCAAGAAGCCCCTGCACCTCACATCCAGGAAGCTTCCATTCTCTAGAGTGGCCCAGATGCTCTGGACCCCTACCTGACTTTTCCAGCCTCATTTCCTGAAGCTCTGTCCCAGCCCACTCCTACTGCCCTGGTCAGAAACCATGGTAGTCCCACACCTCCTTAGGCTCCCTCTGTTGAAGATACCCTGGTCCCCTCATTTCTTGTTGAAACCAGTCAAATGCCAACTCTTCTGAGAGGCCTTCATTCATTGCACAGGCAGGCATAACGGTCCCCTATCGACATTCTGCGCCTGTGCCTCTCATTGTACACAGACTAGACTAAACTGATGATTTTGAGGGGAGAGTTTGTTTCTTATTCGCAATCACATCTCCAACCATGAGGGTACTGCCTGGGCACACAACATGGTGAGTCCTCTGCGTGTTTGTTAAAAGACTCAGCGGATGAATAATTCATGGCTGAACTCATGATTATCCACCCCAGACTTTCATGCCAAGAACCTAGGAGTAAAATCATTAATAATGGTGCACCATGTAAGTAAAGTATGTGTAATTCACACTTAGTTAGGAAATTCAAACACCAATGCTTCCTTAACTTTTCTTTCCTCATAAGTCCCTTTGAGAATCTGATGAAAGCTGTAAACCCTCTCGGATGGAAAGATGTACTTTAGATGCATAGAAATTTTTGCATACAACTTTAGGGATATAGAACTCCTAAAATTTACTTACATATTCTAGGAATAAATGCATCCCACTAAGATTTTTTTAAAAATAGTATAAGTAACAAGTTGACTCTAAATTAGCAATTCGACTCTAAATTAATGTAACTTGTTCATCGTTGTTCTTCACATAAACATCGTCCTCGTATACAATGTACATGAATGTGCACGTGGATGTGGGCCAGTTCCTACAGGAATCTGGTTAGTGGCCCATAATCAAAATTGCTTCTAGTGCTGACATTAAGCTAAAAGACCCACTGTTGTCTCTTCCCGATAAGTAGGCACATATATTGGTGAGATGTTGACCATGGTCTGTAATCTAGAAATGCACCACCTGTGGGCATATAAAAATCCTCTGGTTACTTTCCGGAAAAAAAAAAAAACAAACTTTGATTTCTGATATATATGTACTTATCCTTTTTTGGTACAATCTCCAATATCGATCATAATAATTATTATAAGAGTCATTCAACAGTGCCTATAGTCCAGGCAATTCATATACTATTATCTCAAATAATCCTTGCAGAAATCCTAGACACTATTATTTCCATTTTATAGATGAGTAAACTAATTCAAACATCTCCAAGGTTGGGAAGTAAGGGTTGGTAAAGTCTGTAAATAGTAGTGCTAGAATTTGAAACCACCCCCCTCCAACCCCCTAACAAAAAATAGTAGTGCTAGAATTTGAAACCACCCCCGGCCAACCCCCTAACACCACCACCACCACCTCCGTCTGTTGGGAATTTTAGTCCCTAGCTTCTCCCCACCTCCCAAAATATTACTTTTCAAAATTCCTACAGGCGGAGGAACTGGTTAGAAGGTTAAGGTTGCAATCCGTCTAGAGTTTGTTTAGTATACTCTCTTCGTTTGACTTGGTTATTTACCACCTGAGACCAAGGGAGGGTATCGACATAACCCAACAGTATAGAAAGATGCTGGTCTGGGTCTCAGCCTTCCAGGGTGGAATCTGGTAGGCAGCATCGGCCTCCAGGTGTCTAAGAAGGTCCCTTCACTTAGAATCACTGTTTAGACCCAGGATGAAACCAGGTGTGTTTCTTCAGTATGGTTGGATTAGATATAAGAAAAGAGTTACTGATGGACTGACTCTACCAATGCTATGAGTTTATTTGATTGAAATTCCCTCCTCCAAGCTTCAGATATACTAAGAGTTCCCTATAGGAAACTTTCTGTAAGGTAGAAAAATACAGAAACAAGTTGGGAAGGGAACACGTCTTGGACATGCCTCTGGTAGACATGACAGATTCCTGATAGATTCTGCTGGGTCCCTTCCTTCCCAGATGTAGCTAGGGAGATGGGGAGCCGGGGAGGGAGGTTAGGTTAACAGGTATTCGACCACGCTAGCTGGTGCCCCCGGTAGATCAGTGCCCAGCGGCGGACCTGACCTCCTTGGGTTCAGTTCCCCAAGTCCTCTGATAGACCGAGCCGTCAGCAGCTCTGGGGCCCCAGGAGAGGACAGAGCAGAGGGTGGACCCGAGAGCCAGCCGCCCAGCCCGCGAGCTCACCAGCTCCGAGCGCAGCCCGGCCAGGGCGCCCTCCACGCGCGCCCGGCTGCGCTCTTCCCGGGCGGCAGCTATTTTTCCCGGGGCGCCAGCTGGTGCAGCGGCAGCCGCAGCCTCCTGCGCCCGCCTGGAGCCCCCGCACCGCACAGCTCGCTGGAAGGCGCGCACGAACCGCTGTCTGACGTCCTCTAGCCTCGGGCTGGCGCCTGGGTCCTCCTCCCGGACCGTGGTGCTCCTGTCGCTCCAGGGGAAGCCCATTGAGCCACTAGAGGCTCTGGGCCGAAGCCCAGGTCTGCCTGGGACTCTGTGTGGCCCCGGGGAAATTCTCTCTCTGCAGCTGCTGGCGTCCCCCGGGCCCATCGCGGAGACGTGCAGTCACCCCTCGGCGCGCTCTAGTTAGCTACTTGCTTCCAAGTTGAGGACGAGGGCGGTCAAGGAGAGGTCTGGGTTAATTAACGGAACCGCAGGACACCTGCCAGGGGGCGCTGCTTTATTACTCCGCCACTCAGCGACTGCTTGCTGCAGCCCCATCACTATCAACGCTACCTCCTCCTGAGCAACAAGGAAGGAGGCGGTCCCTAACTCAGAATGCAGGTTTCAAGGGGTCACTCCTTGGAGCGAGAGGGAGAGTCCTCATGAGAAGGATTGGGGACAGAGCAGTCATTTCACACAGGTGGGAATGGAGGTACGTGTGGAAAGTTTGGGACCAAAGGAGAATATTTTGTCCTAAGTCTTCTCAATCACCTTAATTATTTAATACTTTATTCCTCCATGGAAGTTAAGGTGACTGGATCCCACATGGCCGAGTTCTGAACCCATAGGCTTGAGAAACACACTGGGGTGCTTGTGCAGGTGCCCAAAATCCTGACAGGAGAATGGAGGAGAAGAGAGTGTGTCATGGCCACATGTGTCATGCTTTCTTCCTTTCCTTCTGTCTCTCTCTGGCCACCGTGTGCTCCCTATAGCAAAAACAAAACAAAACGCAAAACCATTTGTTCTGACTTCCTGTTACCCCCCGGTACTGTATCCAGTGTGGTGAATATAAAGACTAATTAGGCCCCTGATCTCCCCAGAACGCCCAAAATCAAGGGGAAGAAGCTGGGCCCTGTTCTCAAGTTAGAACAGTCTTCCTAAAACTCCAAGAAGGCCTTTGGGGCAGAGGTTAAAATGGTCAACATTCTCCCTAACTCAAGCTGTAATAACCCCTAATTCAGTGTCCTCATGTGCTAATATTACTTATGTCCCCTATATTATTGAATTGCCTCCTTTTGATCTAATAGAAATTTTCCAAAAATAATGAATAATTGAAACCTTTTGTATGGCCACTAGTCTAGTGGTTAGGGGAGTCGGAACTCACAAGGAGAACTGTGGTTGCAGTTCAGACATTGGCGGCTTGAAAACCTTGCTACTTGAGGGAACCAGCAGTTAGCGTAATGCCTATGTTGCTGGACTCTCACGTAGTCGGCCGTTGTTCACGTCCCGGACCTTGTGGCTTAAAACTCATGCCAGGCATGTGTGCGTGCGTGCCCAAGATCCCCAGAGGAAAATGGAGGAGAAGGGATTGCGGCATGACCATCCCCCCTGGGGGGTGATTTCTCGCTTTCTGTCTCTATGTCTCTCTCTGTCTGGCGAGCGCATGCGCCCTATAGCAAAAACCTCTCAAAAAAAAAAAAAAAAAAAAAAAAATACAAAACTTGCTACTTGGGCGTATGTGGAAGCCCAAAAATTCTCCTAAATTCAGACAGAATGGCGAAGTGGAGAAGGGATTGAGTGACCACACACAATTAGGGGATTTTTCTTTTTCCCTCTTTCTCTCTTCCTGTCTGTCTCACAGTCTCTTTCTAGTAAGTGCATGCCATATCTATACATTATTAATAATAATAGAAATAAAAAACCTTCCTGTGATCATAGAATGTGATTATAAAAACAATAATAAATAGCAGAGACTTTCACATAGAACTCCCACCTTAGAGTTTTTCATTCATTTATTTATTCAGTAAAGATTTACAGGTCACTCCTACCATTTCAGGACCCAGAGCATTGAAAACAATAAGATCACGTTTTCATTAGTGCTACAATGCGCTGGGCACTTTTCATGTACTAGTCCATCTAATTCTCACAGCAACCCTGCGAGGTACATACTAATAGTTTATGTGCTTTATAGATGAGGAAACTGAGGCAAGATAAGATTACCTGGGGATTTGTACTTAAGAAATCTGGCTTCGGTTGTAAATTCTAGACACACTATGGATACAGCTTAACATCCAAAAGGAAAAAAAGTTGCTCAATTTTCATGTTGTGTGAGTGAACGAAAGTTCAAACTCCCTCTGCTGGTGAAATTCAGCTCTACTGAAATGGTTTAAAATTCAGTTGATAAGGAAGTATACAGTGTGGCAAGCTTCTGCAGCCAGACCTGCCAAATTCAACACCTTACAATAGTTTATAACCTAAGCACAATAAAATATCTATCATTTTGTATAATTTCATAAAGATGCTCTACAAACACTTGAAGATGAGTTCTATTTGGCAGAAACTACAAAAATCCATATGGTCTACCATGAACCAACAGAGTATAAATTTAGAATTTGGCTGTTTTTCTGTTTTTTTGTTTTTATTTTTTGGGGGGAGGATGATATATCAGCGTCTGCCAGCATACTTAACAGTAACGTCTCTCTGGATGGTAATAGTGTTGGCGTTCACCCCAGGACTTGGTCCTGTGAAGAAAAAAGTTAGAGAAAGGAGAAAGATGCAGAAACAGAGATGCAGGTGAACACAAGCTGCGCTGCTCAGTCATGCTGAGCTTCTTTATTTATGCATTTTACCAGGCACCGAGAACTGTTTTGCAAGCTTTCAAGGATGCAGAGTTCTACAGTTAGAGATAAGGACCTTAGTGCATTCTCTTTTTCGACCTTGTTACTATTATGTGTGATCCTGTTACGCATCATAGGTCAAGCCAGATTACTTATGCTGTTCCTCTGCAACTCTGAGGAAGGCTGTCTTGGTATGCATCAAAGAGGATAATGTGTAAGCCATAAACATTATATAGAACAGGCAATGCATGACCTAGCCACGGTCAGGATGTTCCTCGTGCCCTGGAGATATTTCCACATAGCCCCAGGTATCTAAGGCATGTGTCAGCCGACTCAAGTGAGCAACAAGGCGTGCAGATAACTGCTTCGTACTGCCAGGCTGCATACCCTCACTGTGATAGGTTGGTAGAGCTTAAAAACCAGCTCTCATCAATGTCTAATGTAAGTGTTTAAAATGACTTTTCTGTCATGATATTTCACTTTTATTTCCAGATCATTTACTTCAGCAAAAATTTCAGTTAAGTCCAATTTAATTCAGCAAACAGTGAATGGTGCATGTTTCATGTTAAACATTGTACCATGTGAGGCAGATACAGAGATTAGTAAGACATAATTTTTGCCTCCAGAAGCTTAAAGTTTGGGAAAACAAATTCATTTATTCAATAATACTAAATGTACTGTGTGCTATTACTATACAAGGTGACAAGGCTACAGTAGTAAGCCAAAGAGACAAAATGATGTTTTTAATAGGCTGGATTTACCACAAATTAGTCATTTTCTTCCATAGATTGATTTTTTTCAGCTGTGACACACCTTGAATTTTATCATTTTCTTTTGCACAGGAAAATACATTGAAGAATTAGATAATAAGCCTGGCTATAATATGCGCATGTATTTGAGTTAAGAGATGTATTAATTGTCCATTGGTACACGATATATTACTCCAAAAATTAGTGGCTTAAAAAATAAACTTTTTCTATAAGAAATTACTGATTTCTCTATCCTTCAAAAAATTAAGGCCAAAAAACAAATGTTTTAGAATAAGAGAAAACTAGGAGGGACCAGCAGTTAGCATAATGGCTATGTTGCTGGACTCTAGTCCCAGACCCAGAGGCTTAAACTCATGCCAGGCACGTGTGCGTGTACACCCAAGATCCTGAGAGGAGAACGGAAGAGAAGAGATTGTGGCATGGCCATACCCCTGGGGAGTGATTTCTCGCTTCTATCTCTCTGGCGAACACACACGCCTTATAGGAAAGACCTCTCCAAAAAGAAAGAAAGAAAGAAAGGAAGGAAGGAAGGAAGGAAGGAAGGAAGGAAGGAAGGAAGGAAGGAAGGAAGGAAGGAAGGAAGGAAGAAAGAAAACTAGGAGAATCTGTCATTGGTTCCTGTCATAGTAACACTTTCATGTTTGGAAAGTCCAGACTCCCATTGGACCTCTTCTCTATGTCCCTTCACTGCCAAGTAATGTCATCTCATTCTGTGGCTTTTATCACCATCTATAAGGTATGCTGACATCTCAAAACTTTATCTTTAAGTCATACTTCTCTCCAAACTCCATCTCTATGCATCTCCAACTTGCCATATCTCATTTTGAAATCTTAATTCTCACCTCCCTTAATAAATTCATTTTTTTAATTTCCTTTATTCAGTTAATGGTGATTTCATTCTGTTGCTTACTTAGGCCATAAAGCTTGCAACTTATTTCTTCCATTTTTACCCTCTGTGCATCTAACTCTTCAGCATATTTTGTAGTCTCTGCCCTGTAGCACATACAGAATCAAAAGATATCTAATCCCTGCTTTTCTAGACTAACCTCCACTCCCTCTCACAAACACTATTGTCATGGCCTCCTAGCAGGTCTCCTTAAGCAGCAATTACCCTGTTCTTATTCTCTTTGTAACAGATCATGTCAATCCTTTATTCAAAACCCCCCTAAATCCTTACTCATAATAAAATACAATGTTCTCCCATAGCCTACAAACCCTCCCTAATTTGCCCAACATGGCTTTCCCTCCATTTCTCTGACCTCATCTCCTTTCTCTCTCCTCCTATCTCACTCTACCCAAAAACCCTGGTATCTTTGCTGTCCTCAGCCTTTTCCCATGCCATTTCCTTTTCCTAGAATTTTCTTGTCCCAGATACATGGGTGGTTAATTTCCTTCCAAGTTCGGGTCCCTACTCAAGTATCCCCTCATTAGAGAGGACTTTCTTGACTAATATATACTCTTTCCTCCATCCCTGTAACTCTCTGTGCTTACCCTTATTTTTATTTCTTAACACTTAACACCAACTGCCATAGTACATATTTATTTTCTCAACTATTGTCTGTTTTCCTTTAATAAAATCTAATCTCCTGAGATTAACTGCTATATCCATAACACCTAGAATGATGTCTGGTACTTAGTAGGTAGTACAAAAAAATATTTGATAAATGAATGTTCCTAGAAGGAAAGAGAAAAGGGGCAACGGGACAAGGGGAAGGAAGAAGGAGAGATAGAAAAAGAGGAAAAGGCTGAAGAGGGCAGCCAGGGAACTGAAACAAATATGGAATATCATGTAAATAACTGCAATTCTCCAGAGTGACTCCAAAATAAGTTGG